ATCATAAGCATAGAATTTCGTGACTGTGGTCGTCACTGTGTTTATATTCGGGGAACGATGTATGAGGTCACACTATGGATCCTCAGTTCACTCTACCAGATGCCAAATCCACCCTACGACCCCCACAACCCAGTGGTTCATACCAAAGACTCTCTGACAACTCTGTCCACCACCGCGAAAATCTGTTTCCGGCCCATCTCAATCCAACCATGGCACTACTATGCAAGATCTGCTGTCACAACTGGATGAAGATGTTCTCCAACAGGACCAAGCACGACTGGTATACGTGGTTGTCACAAATCAAATTGTAGGTGTTTTATGTTATGAATGGTGAATAATATTTACATGTAATGTTTTACTTTTGTGCAAATTGTTAAGAAATTGTAGGTGTGTGAGTACCTTGAAAGATTTATAATCCATGTATTTCCAAATGACTTGCTCGTTGTATTAATAAAAAAACTGTTAGAGTCTCATATTAGAATTGGAAAAGTGAGAATTATATGATATCTCGTTAATAGTATTTTGATAAGTGTTTATATTCCAAAATTATTTTCAACAAAACTAAAGTGAAGATGTTTGATCTGGTTTTCTCAAAAATTAGACTAAATCTGATATCACAAAAACCAGACCACACAAAACATACAAGCGGCCCTAAACACATATTTGATCTGCTTCTACACAGGACCGACTCTATATGTAACCGAAATAATCAATAACAGCTAATTTGTTTTTATTCAAATAATAAACCTACAAAAATAATTCACTTAACTTAATCTTAGATTTGCTAAAATCTAGCTAATCCGCTGACTACAATTAAAGTATTTACCAAAAAATCGCTAAGAGTTATTCAACATTTTACTATTAGTCAAAACTTTTTTGACGCATATATGAGATAAGGAATGTAGTAAATTTATATATGGTGGATAGGAAAGATAAAAAAATCTATATAAACATTAGCTAGATTAGAAGTAATTTCTCCCAATCATACAAGTTTATATCATTTTTAACCTTTGAAAGATACATAAATCTCTCAACCATTTAACAAAACAAAATGACTTCAACCGATGATTCAACGCAAATTCAAGCAGTTACCACTAATGGATCTTCTTCAGACGAAAACAACAGGAGCATATCTGATTCCTCTCATACAACTACATATGAGAAACTTATCCAAGACTCTGATATTTTCTATGATAAGCTCCGTGATTTTCTCGGGTATACTGACAAACATTTGAAGTAAGTTTTCTTTATCACTTATTATATAAACTATTTTAGGATCAGAGATTCATAATTTAATTTTTTTTTGGATTTTATGTGTTTTCAAAAACTTATACTAAAAAAAAAATTAATGATTTACAATCGTATTTGAAGAAATCCCAATTTCACATTAGACTGAATGGTTTTGCTTCTGAATTTATCAGAGATTTCATGCAATTTTGTGAATTTACCAGATATATGACTTGTATTGTGTTAGATTTAAGGGTTTGAGGAGTTGATTGAATTTGTTTGGGGAGATGGAATAAGAAATCAATAAGGGTTTTAATGAAATTATTTTTTCTTTATTGAGGAAATATGTATATGGCTTATTAAATTAAATGAATTGAGTTGTAAATTGGTTAGTCCAAATTCACAAGGCAACATAAATAAGATTTGATTTGGTTTATATTAAATCTAGAAATGGTAAAGCCATGAATGGCGGGGATTAAGAATGTGCTGTTTTGGTTACCAATAAGGCCAAATTGCTTGAAATGGAAATTTCTCTTATCCTCTAATATGGTATTCCCTCAGTTCCATGAAGATTGATGTTTTGGCTTTTTCACACAAATTAAAAAACAATTAGTTATAAGTTATTAATGCATTACTTTTTAATATTAAATATTTTTCATTACCTATTAACTAATAGTAATTCAGAATTTAAATACTCTTAGTTAATGTTTCTTGAAGTTTGCAGAAAGTATCATTTAA